AACATAATCATGTATTTTAGACACCAATTCAATACACAAAGTCTCAGTAATTTGGCATTAACAGCAAATAATAGCCCAAAATGGTATTAATAGCAAATAATTGCCATTTGAGGTCCTAACAACATATACTTGTATCTTACACACCAATTGAATACACAAAATCAAACAATATTGACATTCATAGCAACTAGTAGCCGAAAAATGTAATTAATACAAAATAATTGGCATTTGAGGTCTTAAAAACATATGCATGTATCTTACACACCAATTCAATATACAAAATCAAACTAATTTGGCAATAACACCATAAACTCGTACCAGGTCTCTTCTGATTTTTACTTTTTGGCTAGTTGATTCAAAGTCGGAATCCACCATTGTTAAATCTTCTGTGGCCGTTGTCAAGCTTAGCTTGTATTTTTGCTTCTAATTCCACTTCTACGTTTGGTACCAAAGTCAGAAAGAGGTTATGCGTAGTTCTCACTCTTCTGTGTACTTCTCAACCTTCTGTGCATAGCTTTGAGTATTTCTCGATCAATTCAAAATGTCGAATGGCGGTATTGAATGAGGCGCGAGTGTAGTTGTGTACCCAATGCTCCACGTAATCGCACATAGTAACGGGCAGAAGGTGGGAGGTCAAGGTCGATTATTTCATTAAGGGTTAATGTCCATCCACTGTTTTTTAGTCCTACTAAAACTTCCGAAAATTTTAGGTCCTATTTGTGAAATAATATTATGATTTAGTCCTGTATGGGTAATTTTCTCTGAATTTTTCAATTTTGTAAGGGTCACTATAATTTTTTTAATGACATGGCTTATGTGGAATCTATTTCCATTGGGATTTAGCCATGTATAGGCCTGAGCACGAGTCGGGTTCAAGCGGGTTGGGTCTGCAGACCCTTAACCCGTTCGGGTTTTTTAATTTAAATACTAGGCCCGGCCCTATGATATTTTAAATCGGATATTTCGGATATTTTAAGTCGGATATTATCGGATATCGGATCGGTTTCGGATATTTCGGTTATATTAAAACACATTATAATTGGATAATTAAGGTGTTGGAATGCCACTTTGACAAAAATTGTACACACTAGTGCACTACACGTTCAAATTACACAAATAATTTAACACCAATTACACAAATAATTGAACACGAGTATTAATTTAACATATTCAAAGTACACACTACATAATTTAAAATATTTCAGACATTTCGGTTATATTAAAACACATTATTTGAAATTACTCAAATAATTTAACACAAACGGCACAAATAATTACACAAATAATTGAACACACGTATTAATTTAATATATTCAAAGTACACACTATATAATTAATATATTTCGGGCAGGTCGGGTTGGGATTTTAAAAATCCTACCCGCCACCCGGCCTAGGCCCATTATTAACCAGATTTTTTGGTTTCGGGTTTTTGGATCGGATATCCGTATTCAATCGGATATTATCCGCAAAAAAATTCGAGTTTTACAGGTGGGTTCCAGTTTTGCTCAGCCCTAGCCATGTATGATGCACCAGAACGGCAGAATATTCCACAATGTGGATGCACAGCAGAATATCCGTATGGCTTTTTTTCCCTTTACTACCCACGTGGCCGTCCCTTACTTTATGCATTTGCCAGACTGCCACCCATTCAAAAGAAAAACCACCCGGGAGAACAACTAACACAGATACTATCCCATAAATAAGTCTTATTTTCCTTTTTGGACCGTTCCAAAAAATTGTTCTCATTTCCCTTTTTGGAAAGTTTTGTGTGTTTAACATTCATTTACTTTTTCCTTACTCAACTAAAATCATACATTTCTTCTTTATTCCCACTTTCTTAAACTCCGATCCAAATTGAAATGTGACTTATTTTATGGGACGGAGGAAGTAGTATACAGGGAGCTAGCCTTCATTTAATAAAATATTCTTTTCTAGCTTCTTTTCCAATTTAGCTTGAATTTAGTTTTGTGCATTTATTAGAATATACCGGGTAGCTTCAAAAGAAACTTCACATTTTTATTTTTGACAACTTTTTAATAAAACGTTACCCTTATACCATTACTTTATGACCTACTTTACACCCATTTTCTCTCTCCTACGACATTTTATCTACTTTTTGAGAGGCATAATAAAAAAGTCAAAACAAAAAATTTCACTTTCTTAAAAACCGTAAAGTCAAACTATCAAGTTCTTTCGGGACCGGAGGGAGTACTATGTACTTTTTTATGTCAAAATAATTATTATTATTATTATTATTCAAGCTAAAAATTAATTGATGTCCTTAATAGTCATTTAACAAATTAGCAACTGATTGTAAATAACTATTTAACCAAACACTATTTTACGAACTTCTAATACTATCAGCTAATCAAAACATCCAACAAAATCTGCTGTTGTGAATCAGCCAACACAATCGGCTAACAGCCAACAACCAAAAGTCAATCGTCAACCACCCCTTAGATAACAAGATAGTGGGAGGGGAATTTTAGGCGGGAACAAATGTAGCTATTCTTTTTAGGTGGATTCTATAATACCCTTAAGGTACCGTACCTTTGTCCACATGTACCAATCAGAATGATGTAATTGAATTATTTAAATCTAAATTAAAAATGATGTAATGATTTGAACCAATCAAATGAGGGTCAGGTACGGTACCCTATTTTTTAAATAGATACAGAAGTTGTCACCTTTCTTTTTTGTGTTTTTTGTTCTTGGGGGCGAGATTCATTAGTTGTTTGGAGTGTTTGGCAATTGCATAAATGCATTCAATTGGGCGGCTAACCAGCAAACAAAATCTTAAAAGAGACTCCATGTAAGTACGTAGCCCTAGGGCTGGTTTCGGTTCGGTACCCGAACCAATCCAATGAAATTTGGAACCGAACCGAATTTTCGGTTATTCCAAATATCATACCCGAAACCGAACCGATCATCAAACCGATCAAAAATCGACATATTCAAATTTTATATCAATAAAAAAATTAAACTTGAACTAGAATTTAATTCCATAAGCCCAAAATGTGACAATTAGATTTTTGAGTACATTAAAGTCCACTTTGAGGTCATCCCTTATTATAAAGAAGCATTTGAGGAGTAAACTCCTTTTGTTTCCTGTGTGGGATGATAACCCCACAAGAGGAAAAAAAAACTCAAGCATATTCAACCTAAAAAGAATCACGCGGGATTCAATCCCATGACCAACAGGATGGCTAACACACTCCGCGACCGGCGAACCAAGGCATTTGATACGTTCATGATGCTCTCCCAACGGTGTTGTATATTTAGTAAATGAAATTAACTATGATAAAAACAATTATTATTAATAAAAAAATCGGTTCGATTCGGTCCAAACCGATATTTTGAGAGTACAAACCGATTTCGAACTGATTTTTTTTCGGGTCCTGATTTTCGGATCCCAAAAATTATCGATTCGGTCCGGTTCGGTTTTTTTTCAATGCGGTTCAGTTATTTTCTATTCGGTTTTCGATTTTTTGGTTCAAAATGCCAGCCCTACGTAGCAGTAGTATTATTGAGTACTTCCCTATTGATCCAATAGATCAATTTGGATCAATTGAATACTACATAGTACTTTGTACATATTAAATAGGAAGAACTGAGGAAGGGTCAAAGTGGCTACTGGCCCGCAGGCCCGTTAGACTTTTCAAATTCCGAATTCCCAATGGACACGGCAATTTGGATTTTGCTCGGTGAAGTAGTAGAGATATTATCCGAAATAGATCTAAAACAGTTTGAAAATTTCAAAATAAGACCGTCATGTTTTTATTCTTAAAATAAGACTAATTACTGTCATGTTTTAGCAGTACCAGACTTCAATCATGGAAGTATTTTCTAAACATGGCAGTAATTAGTCCTATTTTGGGAATAAAAAAAGACGGTCATATTTTGGAATTTTGAAACTGTTTTAATCCTATTTCAGGAACTTTCCCGAAGTAGTATCCTGCTCCGCTGAAGTAGTATCCATTTCATTTTGTAATTTCATACTCCGTATTAAATTTAAAAAATTGTCTTATTTTTTGTCGAGTTTTTTTCCGGATTAATGTTAATTAATTAAATAATTACGGAACTGTTTTAATCCTATTTCAGGAACTTTCCCGAAGTAGTATCCTGCTCCGCTGAAGTAGTATCCATTTCATTTTGTAATTTCATACTCCGTATTAAATTTAAAAAATTGTCTTATTTTTTGTCGAGTTTTTTTCCGGATTAATGTTAATTAATTAAATAATTACGGAATTAATGTTGGGTTAAAACTATTTACCAATATACTGTTGGGCTTAACTCTGGTCGGGGAAAGTCGTCAAACCGTTTGGCGACGCCAAACCGGATGGCGACTTTCCCCCTGCACATAAACCGGATGACTTTAGATAGAAATAATGAGTGCAGCAACCAAAACAGCTCCGACAAAGATCGATTTCAGCAGCCAAATCCGACGACTACAACGACTAGAAGGCTATTTCACCTATAAAGGATACTCATCAACCATCTTCTTCAACCTCTTCAACTCTAGGTAAATCAAATCCCCAACTTCATCTCATTTTTGAACTTAGGGTTTGCAATCGATAATTTTCAAATTTGTAAATTAGGAATTCATTTGTGAATTGATTTGTTGTGAAATGTGAATATGTATGAAATGAGGTTCAGGTGCTACACTTGTTGATACTAGAGAGATTTGATGTAGCTGCACACTTCAGTTGGAGTAGTGCTCGTTGGCTTATCTGTATAGGCAGTTGTGTCGCGGTTGTCAGAGTGGGAGCATGGAGGTTGGGTTTTTCTGCTTCTATTGCAGATTTGGTCATGGAAGTACATTCACATTGTCCGTCCCAATAGTACGATACAACTACCGGGCGAGGACCCAATAGTACGACAAGGAAGTGGATGTGGAGTAGAAAATAATATTTGGAATTCCATCAAGCATCAAATCATATTAATAGAAAGGTGATTCAACACACAATAATCGTGGATATGAACAAAAAAGATTGCGTAAGGGACAAGGGCTTAGATGAGAGGAAAGAGACGAGGGGTAAAAAGAAAGAGTCATTCTTTTCCTTTTCATGGTGTATTGGTGTGTACAAAGAGCTTTTTTTGTAGAAAACATCCTAGCCTGTATCTAAAAGTCCAGCCGCCACAAGATTACATCAGTTTGGTTAAGACTTACATAAATGTTTTTGTGAAATACTACTTCGTACTATACTGGCTGTGCTCCAAGTATAAATTCCCCATATTTTCAGCCATGCATTGTCAAGTACGAGTAAATTTGCAGCCACCTACGAGCACTGCAAAATCTTTCTTGAATTCATGGATTACACAGCCATCAGCTCATTTCTATTCTACCCTCCTCTCCTCTTCCTTCTCTATCTAATCTCTAACCAATTCCACCGGAAATTAAAGAACTACCCGCCGACCCCGTTCCTCACCCTCCCCGTCCTCGGCCATCTCTACCTTTTGAAAAAGCATCCCCACAAAACCTTAACCAATATCTCCAAGCGCTTGGGCCCAGTCGTCCTACTCAAGTTCGGCTCCCGGAAAGTCCTCTTGGTCTCCTCTCCTTCCGCGGTGGAAGAATGTCTGTCGAAGAATGACGTCGTTTTCGCGAATCGCCCCCGTCTCCTGGCCGGAAAGTATATAGAGTACGACTACACCTCCATGGCCTCGGCGTCCTACGGCGACCACTGGCGCAATCTCCGCAAAATCGTCGCCACCGAAATCCTGTCCAGTAATCGCCTCCAGGCGCTCCACGAAATTCGCGCAGACGAGGTCAAATCAATGATCCGGATGCTGGATTCGTCTTCGAAAGCGGAGTCACCAGCTGACATGAAGACTGTGTTTTTCGAGTTGATGCTGAACCTGATGATGAGGATGATCGCCGGAAAAAGTTATTACGGCGACGACAAGGAAGTGGATGTGAAGACGGCGGCTCGATTCCGGGAGATTGTCAGGGAGGTTTTCCTCCTCAGTGGGGCCACCAACGTCGGAGACTACGTGCCTTCTTTGAGTAGGCTGTCCGCCGAATTGGAGGAGAGTTTTCGGAAGTTACAGCTCAAGAGAGATGCTTCCTTGCAGGATTTGATTATAGAATGCCGCCGGGAAAGGATGGCTGACGCCGGCAGTGATGCGGCAGGGAAAAGGAAATCATTTGTTGGTGTACTGTTGACCCGGCAAGAAGAGGAACCCGAATATTACAAAGATGAAATTATCGGAGGCCTCGTATGGGTGAGTTGCTTTAATTGATGAGTTTTTTTTTAACTAAGATTTTATTTATGATCGAAGGAAACTACAACATGGGAGAATAATAGACTAGCTTACCCATAAATTTTACAAAAAAGATGTTTGTACACACTCTTATACACACTTTTGTACACACCTATGTCTGTGAAAGTTTTTTTTTTGTTCTGTGAACATCGATTCACAGACAATGTTTTGCACAAACAAAATATTGTCTGTGAATCGGATTCACAGACAAAAAAAAGCTTCACAAACATGGTATGTATAAGGTGTGTACATCAAGAATAGTTGTAAATTTTAAAAGCAAGCATTGATAGTTCAAGAAATATCCCAAATAAAAAATGATTGGCCCTAATAATTTAAAAATTAAAGAAACAGGCCATCCAAATTAATTGCACAATCCTCCCATCTGTCAACTTTCAACAGAACATGTATAAAACCACGGGACATCTTCTGCACTCCGTGCCAAATTCCACCATTCTACTCTTTCGGTCCCATAAAACTTGGTCGATGTTGACTTCCACGTAAATTAATAAATTAAAACTGTGTGGTTGATATTTGTGAAGAGGGGTGAGAAATAACTTTAGCCACATATTTGTTACTTTAAATGAAAATGACAAAGTTTTTTGGGACGGCCAAAAAAGGAAAGATGACCAAGTTTTATGGGACGGAGGTAGTATTTGCGCTGTCCCAACCTCCGGTGATGATTTCCGGCGTTGCTCCTTGAGGTCATCTGTATAACCACCTCAAACCCAGTCCGCTAATCCTGATTAAACTTGTTCCGGGCGGTGCATCTTCTTCTCCGCATTGAGTTAGCAATAGTAATTCATTTTTTTATGAAATCTATAGATTTATTCTTTTTTTAGTAAGAAACCAAATTTTATTGAAAAGAATGAAAGCAATACAGGGGCGGATCCAAGCGTGGGGGCAACGGGGCAGCTGCCCCCACTCAACCCTCACTCGACTCCTATTGATGAGTTTTTTTATCAATTAAAGCAAAAAAAAACTCAATCCTTCGTTCCCTTTTAATTGCAACAGTCAACACTTTGCGTTGCCAACACACAAGTTTGACCATTAATATCTTGCATTCTCTATCAGTAAAATATTTATAAAATTCATATTTTGAAAATTTAGATTGAGAAGAATTTAACAATATTTTTAAAAAAATTAATTTATAATACATTAATTAATAAAATATAGTCAAAGTAGAATATGTGAATAGTGCAAAAAGTCCAATGTTGCAATTAAAAGAGAACAGAGAGAACGGAGGTAGTATATCAAATATAAAATTATAAATGTAAAAATGTATTAACTATAAGTACGTTATACATTAATAAAGAAAATGTTGACGACAAGTTGATGCAGTGCAAGGGCGGACCGTAGTACAGATCCAGAGGGTTACCGCCCCCCCCTACAAGAATTTTTTAGTGTATATATATATGAAAAATAATTTTCTCCCTCCGAAAAAATATTTTGAACCCCCAAAAAATATTTTCGCCCTCCAAGATGATTTTCTTGAGTCCGCCGTTGATGCAGTGGAGCGGAGGCGTTTCTCATGCGTGAGTTCTAGTTGGTAGAATGGTTCAGGTTCGTATCTCTATTGTGTTTCTTTGTACCCCGTATTTTTTTTAGCTTTTCCTTTTGTAAGCTCTAAAGTGACTTGAAAGTGGCTTTGAATAATTGTATTAAAAGTGGCTTACATAATTGTATTCAAATTTTAATTGGATTAAACTACTTCAATATAATTATAATTTAATTTTTCACACATAATTTTTCATCTTCACTATTCTCTGGTCAACGTAACGTTTTCTTAATCTATAACTTTATATATCTAATTTTTATCAAATATGAGTTTTTTGCGACTTCATAAAACTTTTAATGTAGATTCAGAATATGTAATTTTTTACTAGAAAAAACTAATTATAGACAAGGATCAGTTTACTTTATGGTTAGTCAAACATCATAAAACCGTGAGAACCTTTCTACGGGATAGAGAGAGTACATTGTTACATGTAACATGTATGGAGTACTCATTTTTAATATACTTGTGAATTCGCAACTTAATTACATTAATTCTAAATAATATTTGATTAATTCCTTATTTGATTTTTTATTGTTAACATAATTTTGAGTAAATTATAAACTATGTGATTAATTTTTTTAGTTAGGTTAAGTTTTATCTGCCATGAAATTTTTAATTATGATATCGTAATATTTTTGACCCATGACTATTTTATTATTTATAATTGAATTTACACTATTTTTAATGTGATTATTGTTTATGAGATGCGAGAAATAATCCATGTGAGTTTGCCCACGCTGGCGTAAATTCCTGGATACGCCACTGAATACATGCACTAATGAAAGATAAACTAAGCTAAAGAAAGCAAACTAAGGTAAAGATTAAGCTTTCAAGCGCAATTGTGACATAGTTTGCATGGAGGAAGTCTGAGTAGTCAATTTTTTCTTGTTACGCCGAGAAATAACTGGAGTGAAAGAACCATCTCCAGTGACCTCAGTTAAATCCTTTTGTTCAGCTAAAGCCGGAGAAGCCACTGAAGCCGCAGATGAAGAAAGAGCAACACTCTGAGCCGAAGTCTGAGATTTCATCCTCTTGTCTAAACTCATATGATCTACCTTGAATTGAGTGATAAGATCTTGAAGAGAAGGATAGGAAATAATAGTCGGTTTAGAGTTCTTAGCCATAGCCTTTCGTTTGGGAAAAACATTTTCATTCTGTTTCATGTTCTTCTTGAATTGGAACAAGAACTTACTTCCCTCGATGCATCAGAAGAAGAAGAAATCAAATCAGTCGATGAGGTTATATCTTTTAAAAATATAATTCTAAAAATATAATTCTCATACATATTATTGTAAAATTAAGAAAACTCAATGTGACTCACCAACACCCTCCTCGTAGATAAAACTTGTAATTTAAAAATCAATTCTTTATCCCAATAAGATTCATGTAGGTAAACAAGGCAAAAGTTACCAAAAAAAATATTGGTGGAATTGTACCTTTTGAACTCTTTATTTTCAAATAATTTGATAAAATGTTATATATCTTTTCTTATTTTCAAATCACTTTCCTTTGATTTGTCGTTTCTTACGCTTTAATGTATCAATACTTTCTTCTAAAACAATTCAATTATAAAATCAGATTTATTTTTCCATTGTCTAAACTTATAATGTAATAGATTTAAATGTCGTTGTGTATGTCATAATGTGATTTTTTTGAACAAAAAATAACCGCAAAGCCCTACACTCGCGGAAAAAAATTGCCATGCAACACTAGCAAAAAAAAATTACCCGCTACACTAGTGAAAAAAGTTTCACGGAAAACAACTCCGTCCTCCTTGACTCAAAATTCAGGATCCATCCCTCATGTTAACGTGGTCCAACTCAATTGGTGATAGATACCCTAGTCTCCAAACCTACGGTAAAAAATAAGACTAAGTTATCACCAATAAGATGTTACATTCTTGTAAACAACTTTTATTTTGGTTATAAAATGCAATTATACCTTATTCATCTCTCTGGTCCACACGAACCAATTAAATTACTTCAGTTGAATAATGCAATTTTTGTTGGTTTGTGATAGGAAATTAATATCGGGTCAAGATAGTAAGGGACTACTCTGAGTATTTGTGATGAGCAAGGGAATTGTTTAAAAGACATCTCACATCAAATAAAAATGAATTAATTACTAACCTACACTAACAAGAAGAAATGTTTGATTATAACATACTACGTACAGGATACCATAGCAGCAGGAATAGACACATCAGCTGCAACAATGGAATGGACACTCTCACTACTTCTAAACCACCAACACGTACTGCAGAAGGCTCGAGAAGAAATCGATGACAAGGTGGGATATGAGAGACTAGTTGAGGAATCAGATATGGCTGACCTCCCCTATTTGAATTGCATAATAAAGGAAGCAATGAGAATGCATCCCATTGCCCCTCTGGCAGTCCCACACGAGTCCTCAAAGGAATGCACTATAGCAAGCCATCGCATCCCGAAAGGGACAATGTTATTGCTCAACTTGTATTCGATCCAAAGAGACCCCGAATACTGGGATGAGCCGGAAAGGTTCAATCCAGAAAGATTTGAAGACTTTAAAGCAGTTACTACTGCTAAAGAACATGGGTACAAATGGATGCCTTTCGGGTCTGGGAGGAGAGGCTGTCCGGGAGAAGCACTGGCGTGGCGCATGGTTGGGTTGTCATTGGCGTCGGTTATCCAATGCTTTGATTGGGAAAGACTTGGAAGCGAATTGATAGACATGGGTGAAGGACCTGGTTTGACTATGCCCAAAGCAATGCCTTTGGTGGCTAAATGCAAGACGCGACCTTTTGTCACCAAGCTCCTTTCTACCTATGCAACATGATTTTCTTGTGTTTTTTCTTGTTGTGTGAGTATGTTTTTTATTTGAAATTATTGTCATGTACTCCCTCCGTCCCACATTTATCTTCGTAGTTCGGTTTACGATGCTTGACTGACGATAAATCAACTTGATCCCTGTTCACACTCAGATTATTTTTAGTAAATTAAATTTACATATTCAGAAAATACATTAAATCCGCTACAAAGTCTGATCAAGAAAATTTAAGTTTGATAAAAATTTGATATATAAACTAAAAGATTAAGAGTAATTTGAGTTGACCATGTGAATAGTAAGTATGAAGATAAATATGGGACGGAGGGAGTACTATTTATAAATCACACATCATCAAATCCGATTAATATCCAATGTAGTTACTCTAGTGTGGTGTACCTACTTGCTTAATCAGATGGAATCTGATTAATAATTTTATTTTCGTGATAGAAGCCTGTCATATATAGATGATGCAACATCCAATTCCTCTTCCCTTCTTTTATTTGACTTTTGTGAGATCTCCGCTTTACATTCATATATGTTAAATTGTGAATCGTGATGCAATTTAAAGGGCTATTGTCAAAAACTGGTATCTTCATCAATTTACTATGGAAACAAATGTTGTAGCTTTCGAGAATGAGATTCAATTGGCTGAATAAGGGCTAGGCTATGTACTACACCAAAAATGCGGAAAGTAAAATATGAACTAAAAATCATTAGGATTGAATATCGAAGCATATCAATAGTCAATGTTAATTGTTTAAATTACATTGCTACATAACATAGTAGATATTGGAAGTAGGTTAAAAATAGATAAATTAAACATGTTGAAGTGTTGAATAAACAAGCCATGCAATTCTAGTACCTAATCATTCAACAACGTAAAAACCACCGCACCACCTTTTGTAGAGTCTAGATATGCCTGATAAACCCTGAATCGCATGGAAGAACGGATATGCCATAAAAACCTCCACTTTTGGCATATACAGAGCATTTCATAACATTTAATCTATAACTATCTTGGTTCATCACACATTTGTTGCACAAATGAGGGTTAGTTGACACCATCTTTTTAATCACGAGTTGTTCAACGATGTAAGAATTTGTTTGATTTAGGGCCCAACAAATTCTTATATGGTTAATGATAAATTGATAATCGTGTAATTTCCATGTTTATGTGTATGTTTGTAATTAGTTTTGATCGAGTGTTACTTTGGAAATTACACACTTTTGGTGTAATTGTTTAGTTTGTAAAATACTTGTAAATTGTTTAGATTAGGTTTATTCTGAGTTCAAACAGGTCCATGATCACTCAAGGGACCGTCGTTGAACCCCAAAAGTGAAAGGAAGGTACAAAATCACAAAAGAAATAGAGGATCCTCATTTTTTGGTCTGTACCCGGTCGGGTATGACCTATACCCGATCGGGTACCTTGTTGAAATATCAAATCGGATCGGATTCGGGACAAGGCAACATGCAGGCCAGGAAGATATTTGACCATGTTCGAGTTTCATACCCAATCGGGTGACCGACATACTCGATCGGGTATGTCACACTTTTCGAGCTTCCGGGAAGCCACTGAAGATACCCGATCGGATGCCCTTGATGCCCGATCAGGTACACACCCCTGCATGCTCCAAAAGCCTATAAATACCCCCTTTCATTCCCAAAGAAAATCACCAATTCACATATACTTCTTAGCTCAGTTTAGACAATCTCTTTCTTTATATTTTCTTCATGTTTAGTCTCCAAATGAGGAGCTAAACTCTTCCATCTTGATTTTGCTACTTTGAAACTTAATGAATTTGTAAGTTGTGAGTTATTTTCTTTAATCTTCTTCCTTGAATATTAATTATTTCCTATTCATATTCCATATTAATATTTTGAGCATTACTTAAAGGATCAACTAGTTTTGTTTCATATATTACTCCCTCAGTCCCGCTAGAAGGTTCCCGTGAACGGTTTACGATGCTTGACTGTCTATAAAGCAACTTAATTCCTGTTCACAATCTGTTTATTTTTAGTAAATAAAATTAACATATTCAGAAACTACATTAAAACCGCTACAAAGCCTGATAAAAAAATGTAAATTTGGCAAAAATTTGATTTATAAAGTAAAAGATTAAAAATGATTTAAGTTGACCATGAGAATAGTGGACGGGAAGCTTCTAACGGGACGGAGGGAGTAATTATTACTAGAATCAATCGATTAATACACTTGTTATTAATTCGGCTCTTTCAACGGTAGTACAACTTGGATTATTAATGCATGCATCTCATGGTTAATAATCTAAGGGGAATTAATTATATTGATTAAACCAATAAACCGCTTGTGTTGATGTTATCAATCTCAATCATTTTCATCTTAAGTTTATTGCTACTATCGGGTTAATATACGACGTGTGTTCTATATTGACTCGGTACTAAGTTTTATTAAAGAACGTGTCTCGTTATTAATAACTACCCTCAATGAACTGGATATACTCCTCGATTGAGTATTCGAGAGGAAGATAGTTAAAGATATAACCGGGATCGGCGAACATTTCATTGAGTGGATAAAAGTGATGGTCCCGGATAGGGTAAAAGTCTAGAGGGGGGGGGGGGGGGTGAATAGACTTTTAAATCTTTTCGACCTTTACAAAGAATTCCCTCTAGAGGAGTTGATCTATAATCTTTTGAGAGATTAATAGATGCACAACGGAAGTCTTTACCCTTTATATATATAATGAATGCTTTAACCACTTTCAGATCTGGGGAAGATTGGACTTAGATAGCTAGCAGTTGGCTTGGCAGTTGGCTTAGCAGTTGGCTAGGTGGTAGGGAACTGCTGAGGCAACTGCTAGACTAATACAGACTTTATGATGAAGATGATGATGGAATATTGTTCAGGATGATGAGGGCAGTGGAACAATATCCTTTAGTTGAAAGGAAGCTACATCTGTATTTCAGCAGTGGTCTCGGCAGTTGGGTGGTACTGAGTGAACTGCTGAGTCACCTGCTTGTATTAAAAATTGGGATTCGTAGACTGCCTTCTTACTAGAGATGTTATGAGACAGTGATGATACTTGAGATGTTCACAGGAAGTAAGGTTGTATGAGCAGAGGGCTCAGCAGTTGGGTGGTCACCAGGGGACTGCCGAGGTCTCTGCTATACTTTAAGAGTGAATTCCTGGAATATGATAGAGCGACTCTTCTAGTGATTATGTGACCTTGTATAGTGTGATGAGGGCTTCCTGATTGGATACTGAGCTTGAGAATTTAAGGTGTTTTTGCCTGAGCAGAGGTCTCAGCAGTTGAGTGATACCAGGGAACTGCTGAGCCACCTGGTTCAGTAAGAGAAGTGATTTCTGGCAAAGTGTACCTTTAGACAGTGATGTTACGAAGCTCTTGTGAAAATGTTATCTCAAGAAAAGGTGAGTGATTAAGCAGTAGGATAAGCAGTTGGGTCAGTTAAGACAACTGCTTAAAATGCTGCTGGCAAACTACAATTTCTTATACGAGAAGTGTTGGGTGTGTGCTTTGTTGACTAAGGAAATCAACACACGATATATCATGGTTCAGAGGTGGTGTAATCCTCCTACATCCAGTCTCATCCTATTTCAAATGGATTTCACTAATGTATTAAGCCCAATACACTTAGTGCCAATCTAGCCTTGACAACTCTGGCCTAGATTGAAGGTGTTTCACGAGGAGTACAACACCACTCCAAGCTACTCAATCCTTTAGGTTTTTCTCAATTGATCCAGGGGGGATCAAAAGGTACTCCTAACCTATCTAACTACACTCAGGCCGGGAACAACTGTCCTCCTGAAGTGTTTACATCAATTTCTGACTGTGGTTACAAGAAAGTTCTAACCTCCAACTAGGAACTAAAATTCTAGGATTTTGGCAATGAATACTTGATACTGAGAAGTTTAGTGAAGCAAGAGTCTAAGCAGAGATTCGTGGATAGAATAGCACTTCTTGCTCAGTGAAATATCTCTCTACTTAGGATGCTCAGGCTTGTTTAGAAACTTTCGTTTCAGCCTCTATTTATAGGCTTTTGGCTGATCAATCTTATCCGTTGGTTAGGATAAATTGATCTCTACCGTTGAACTTCTAGCGAGTACGAGCAGTACTTTTGTCTCTTGTGCTGCAGTATTTATGGAGGATGTTTCTGTCTCCAATAATCGTCGGGCATCTTTTGAGGGTGTGCGTCCTATGCGTGTAGGTCCATGTACCTGTTTTAGCATTTAAGGCAGGTATAGTCTTGTCTTCTAATCATACATATTCAGTGTATGATTTTTCGGGCCTTTCTCTTATTGTGACCAAGAAAATTTATGTACAGATAAAATATACCGGTAGGATCTAAAATATCCTATTAAGGTAAATAAATATTACCTTATTGCATTTTTATTTTTCCGGTAATATTTTATTTGTATCAGCAAATTGTACATTTATGGGTCACTTCAGGATGAATCAACTTCAAATGTTCACTTTGTGTCTTTTCCTTTTTGTGACGAATTTAATTTGTGATAAAGTAAATATATACCGGTAGGATTTAAATATCCTTTTTAAGGTAAGAATTACCTTATTGCATTTTGACTTTGCCGGTATAATTTACTTAATACAAATATTTTTCTTTTTACTTTTGGTCACTCTAGGTTGTGTATAGCTCATCCCTTATTCCGAACATCAACCAAGTATTTAACTGGTAGGATAACAAATCCTATTAAGGTAAAAATTATTACCTT